GTGTGTGTGTGTGTGTGTGTGTGTGTGTGTGTGTGTGTGTGTGTTGTGTGTGTGTGTGTGTGTGTGTGTGTGTGTGTGTGTGTATCATTGACAGATCTTTCATCCACACTCATTGACAGATCTTTCACCCACTAAGTGTGGAATCTTGCCAGGCCCACCAAATAGCACAAAGTTAACCCCTTTACACAAGCAGCAGCATAGATAACAAGAATCAGTCACAAACTAGTCAAAGGGCCTCTTTTATTGTCATAGAGCTGTACATTCCCATGGACCTGAAAAGGTTATCAGCCATATCCCAGAAAAATACATGAGAACACTGGAAAAAACCATAAAGAGGCTTCTGAGGTATACAATTTGAACTAAAAGAAATGTTCTTCTTCACAGTCCCCACGCCCCTAATAAAGTGCGGAGCATCAAGTCTCAAGATGAATGTCTGAGAGATTCTAACATCCTGGATACTCATGGATGAATTTTGAACAGGCACGTAGGCCTAAGAAAATATTGATGCTTCTTTTATCACAGTTGCTCTAAAGAGAAAAGAGCTTCAACAAAACATGACCTGGCTGAAATGGACAAGGGAATGTTCAACAGCATGGAAACCATTCTACTGAAGGCAAAACAACATACCCACGGACTCTAACATTGCACTCGACTTTTTGGGGGCTAAACAAAAAGACGTGTTTTACAATGAGAATAAAGAGCTCAATACGAGACTTTTCCTTTGACTGTATGCATCACAAAACATCACTAGTGAGGATTTAATGGTCAAAGTGCAGTAGGATAATATAACACTAAGGGTTGATAAGGATGGTTTCTCGCTACACTAATTGTCCAAGGCAAAGGGTATGGCTCTAGTAAAAATCAGAGGGACTGCTGAAGGAGACATCATGCATGTTGCGTCTTGTGTTAAAAAAGGGTATTGCTATTCAAGGTTGCAGCCACACATCAGAGCTGTTTGATACAAAATTAAAGGTGTGGCGCCAGAGATCTTAAAAGTTTTGAAAACCTGACAAGTTTTTGTCTATGGAATAATAGTTCAGTAACAATACTAGGTAACAGTTTAGGTACATCAGACAAGCCTGTTTGAGCTTACTTTTAACAATTCAGTGCTTTAAAACTACAATTATTTAGTGTGAATTGCCTTGGAATCCAATATTTACTTCAAGATAATTAGAGAGAACACTTCTCATCTCCCTACTATCACTTTTCCTCTTATCATTTGGTAGATTTGTTTTGTTTTGTCATGTCCTTTTGAGCAAACATATTTTTATCTGCACTTGTGCAATTAGGATATTTCTTTCAATAGAAGTAATACAATATATATATATGGGGAGAGAGAGAGAGAGAGAGATACTAAAAGCTAAAACGGCAAATCAAACTATTTAAGAGAAATAGCATACCAGTTAGCACTATAGGATAACTGCGTGGATGTGTTGAGACATCAATGGGATTCAAACCTGATGAATAAAACTCTACACCCGCTGGTAGAACACACTGCAAAGAAATAGGAATTAAAAGTGATGAAAGAAAAACAAGAGATGCATGATGAAGTAAGAGAAGCTGGATAAAAAACAATAGCCACCATACTGCATGCATGAAATTGGAATGCCACATGTGATGTCACAAGTTTCAAAATCACAAAGACCAAGATGGGCATTAAAGCCATCAAAAGAAAACTGTGTGGGAAATCTTCATTCCAAATCAGTACCCAATGAAGCTATTTAAGTGAACCGCACATCCTATTGTGTTAGAAAATATTTCCCAAGCATCACGATGTTCTTGTTATAAAGGCAGAAGGTGACTAACAAATTTTATAATCGTAAATAATTAAAAACAAATCCACGAACTCCCAATACCACCAGCTCCAGCATTTTGTGGCACTTACTTCACTAATATTTAACATCTCTCCTTAATTGAATGACATAAGCATATGCATTTAGCATAAAAATACTTCAACTTGTATAATTCCAACTATATGCAAGACAAATGCAACTTGATCAGCCAGTCAAAACAACACGCAGGAAACTAACAATCAAGCAAACATCAGAAACAAGTTAGTGCCTTAACGGATTTCGGCCATTTAGAGACCCAAAAAAAATATGCTTTTAAAGAAGCACAAAAATCATGCCAAAACCAACTAAAACATTTCTTGGATTGGTTAATACCACCATTGGTATCTTTTTCACAAAAATTACAGTTTATACAATTTTTATCGTTTAGTTTTGGGTTATAACCATACTTACAACCTGGATCACCTCTTATAGCAAAACTAGAAATAGACCTATGAGCCTCCCCTGTCATTCTCTCACATCCTCACCCCGTGAGCCTCTC